ACTATTAATTCAGAGTTTTTCCTCAATAAACTCCTAATATGATGCTTATTAATAGTTAGTAAGGTAGTTGTTAAGTTATAAGTACTAATAAACAGCCAATATGATGCTAATAAGCAGCTAGTTAGTAGTGAGAATTGGTCCTTAAAATAACCTGTTACCAAAAATAATAATAATATTGTGAAATATTATTAGACTTCAAAATTACTGTTTTCTATTTTTAAATAAAAATTATTCATGTGATAGCAAAACTGGATTTTCAGTAGTCTTCAGTGCAATATTATACTTCAGAAATCATTTTAATATGCTGATTTGGTGCAAGTAAGCAAGTAACATTAAAAATTTTAAAAGAGCAGCATACAAATCTTTTGTAACATAATAAATGTCTTTATTGTCACTTTTGATTAATTTAATGCATCCTTGCTGAATAAAAGTATTAATTTCTATCAATATTCTTTCAATTTCTTTCATAATTAATAAAAAAAAAAATAATAAAAAGTGTTGAAAAAATGTGTGTACTGACCCCAAAATTATGAAGGGTAGTTCATGAATTAGATGTAAGATTCAAACATCTTACATGATAAACAACTTACATTATTACATTATAATAATTAAAGTAACAGATACATATTTAACATATTCTGCAAAAGAAAGATGCAGCTGGAATGAGTTTACCCTGGAATGCTTCTTGCCCCCATGATTTTAAATTTGGAATTTTGTGATATAATATCTAAATTCTCATCATCCTTTGGACTACATGCTAAACTATTGAGTATCTTACGCTCTCTAAATATATTACAGTATCATACTGTCTCTAATATGCTACAATTTAGCAGAAAATGCACAAGCTGTCAAGGGAACTACCTTCCCCAGTCTTAGCTGGGGGCTTGACTTCAGTAGCTGGTTCACATATTCAGTTTTCTAGCAGCTCCTGTAAGGCATTGTGTGAGGAGAACCCTAGTCATAGAGCAATTGCTCTGTCATGGACTGTCTCCAGCTCTTATTCTTGGTTTGCTTTTGTCAAAATTGTTCTTTTCATTCTCTGTTTCTGTTTTTATCTCTCTTTTTCTCTCAGTCTCGATGAATGATGCGGTGATAAGAAGGTCAGATATACCAATGGGACATCTCTGCTCGTAGAACTTTATGATTTTTTAATGGGACTGCATTCACTCCAGCCTGCTGCAATCACAGCCAATTAGCAGCTCCTGCTCATTATCACTGCTCCCAACACTGCACTAATTCGAGGTTAATTTGGTTTGATTGGGAATTTTTTTGAATCTTTGTGTGATACGAGGGCGTGATGATAGATGGGCGCAATCTTAAACATGCTTTAATTCTTTTAGGGAAACACATGTGGGCGCCATGTTTGCGAAAGCTTGTGTGTTTGGAGGGGATTATGGGAAGATATACTCCCTCAGCGCATGAACCATCATCCTACCACATCCTAAAGCAGGTGTAAAGAGGTCCAGTCTCTAAATTTTATTTCCAGCAAAGGTCTGAAGAGTCAATACTTACACTGTTTCCAGAGCCAATATGTCACATGGTCATGAAATGAAATACACAAGGTACATTTCACTAATATTCATCGCAGAAGTGGTTTCACTTCCAGAAAATGAGATGCAGTGGTCTTAAGGAGTGGTTTTTGATTTTAGTTTAGGATATTGAGGCTTCTAATTTGGCTTGACTCAAAATTGTAGTTAATTTATTTGCGATAACTGAATGTCAGGATTTGTACTGTATATCAGAAAAGAAAAACAGTTGGATAATTTTGTGACTTGGTAGCTGTAACCACCATAGTTAAATAGTTAAATTTTAGGCTGGTCTGCTCAGTAGTCAAAAAGCGATCCTCAAAGTGTTAAAATGGGTTGAAATGACCGATCAAATCAAAGAAGGTGGGCTTTACTGTTCACAGAAGTCAGTCATGAATTCCAGCATGTTTAACAGTTTTATAACGTAAGCAGCAATACATTTCATATTTGACAACATATTTTAGGATAGAAAAGTTAAATGATGGAGTGTAATATCCTGTAATCCAAACCACACTTTTTTTTTTGTTAAATTTTGCTGTTTTGAATGGAAAATGTAGGCAATTATTTACATGATTCATGTTATTAATTTTAATGAGAAGAAAACATTTGCCGTTTTGCGTTTATTCATTATTTGGCATACAAATAGGAACGAATGTGTGCATATTTTAAAATAAAAATATGTGCAAATAGTTCAAATGGATGACTTTATGATAAATTGTAGTTATTTTACTGATCTTCTTTCTTTTTCTTTATTTCCTTTAAATTCTTCAATTATTTAATGCATTATATTATTTATATATATAGAGAGAGAGAGAGAAGAGAGACCACGCTGTTAGATGATTGATTGAAAAGTGGACAATGTTGTCTGATACCCTCAGATTTTTTGGCAAGCTAAGATCAAATATGAAGGCTGAAGATCACCTAAATGAGGTCTAGAAATCCCTATAAATGTTCAGATGTTCACATTTTTGCCACATTAGATATGAGCAGAACACAAATATTTGTTGTAATTCAGTGTAAATGAAATCCTGCATCAAACCTTAAATGTTTCATTATCATAATAATCCATTTAAATCTTGTTTCCTGTTGGCTATGCACGGGAATCAAAGAGCGGCAGACACTATAAGCTATTGTGTACAATCAGGAGGGGTCTTCTACTTGAATAGGTTTATTTTGTTATAATTATCATGTAACTGTACATTATCCCACTTATTACACAGCTGCTTATGGAATATATAAATAAGTAGACATGAAAAATTGATTTGAGCTGAAATTATTTGATTATGTTAAAAGAAAACAATGAGCAGTGCTGTGGAGAGAACTAGCACAGTGTAAGAAAACTGGTTGTCAGGGGCAACGGTCATATACAGAGTTTGTGGTCATTATACAAAAACATTTGACCACAACTAAAATGCTACAACTAATCAGAGTTAAGGATTTTAGAGTAATAAATTGGGCTAATAAGTATAGCTTTTCTGCAATTGTGAATTTTGTCATTTCTGCCTCTTTACAGTATATATAAAGCAGCTTCTGTATCACTTTTGCAATGTAAAGATTGCTTTACTGTTCCATGTGGAGAAAAAGCACTATGTTTATAATTATGTTAATTTATGCAGTGTTTCACGGGCTGGATGGAAGCAATCTGGACGTGCATCGCGGTCCACTAATTGGTGACCTCTGTTCTAAAGGCACGCGGCTGAGGCTTGAGTTTTTAAAGAGAGACATCACAGCTGTTATATGAATGAGACTGGACTTCCGTTCAGCCCACAGATAACTGCCTGTGAATGAGACAATGAGCAGGTTCAGCCAACTGTGACAATCACACCAGCTGTCAAGCAGTCTGTCAGATCATAAACGTAATAATTTGTGTTTTCTGGAGCGCACACACGTGCACATTCTCGCACGCACACGCGCCCAGGCTTGGCTTTTCTTTTAGTCGGTCATTTGCGGCAGACAAAAAGGTTGCATAAATCAAAACAGATGAGTATCATAAATGTCATTTTTAAAATGTCAGTGGAAATAATGTACTTTTTCTCAGTGATGCAAGAGATCTGCGACTTCTGAAAGAGCTGAGCTGATATTCCACTGAGGTCAGAGGTCAAGTTTTTAATTGTATTTTTGATGACAGGTGAGGTTTCGCATATGCAAATTCTCACATTTCTCACTATGAAGTGAGACATTGACTGGAAGTGTGGAGGGAGGCTAGATAAGTGGAAATCAAGAATAACAGAAAGATATATGATAAAACAATTAATTTGAACGCATTGATGATGAAGATTTCAGGCAGATTGTTGAGATTAAAGACATAGAATTCCAGAGAGAGCATTAGAGGGATGTATTTTAATTTAAAGGTGGGGTAAGCGATTTCTGGTAGACAATGTTGACATTTGAAATCACCAAAACAAACACGCCCCTACCCCAAAAGGGTCTCGCCCCTATTTTGCTAGCTCTGCCCCACACATACGTACGCAACCCAGGCAACGATTAGTTCTGTGAAAAAAAGCAAAACCAATGTTACACCGTGTCTACACCGGACGCGAGTGCCGCGGCGCGACAAAATACTATAGAACTCATCAGTTTTCTAAAGTGTTTTTGAAAAATCGCTTACCCCACCTTTAAAATCTCTACGTGTGTGTTGTGATTGGCTGGATTAGCCTTGTGTGTCTGTGCTGCTGTGGGGAGATTAGAGAAAATTACAGATTAATAGCCCGCTATTCCCGGCATTGTTGTTAATTAGTTTCCTCTTTACAGGCATTTAAGGTTCATGTGCATGTTCACTGAATGACCGGCAACTTACCAGAGAGTTTTCAAAGAGCTGATCATAGAAAAATAATGCGTAGTAACGTTTAATACGGCGGCTGAATTTTCTGAAAAATACTGCTTTTTTTAAAACATGATTTTAGTTAAAGTGGCTAAATTCATGACACCATTGTTGTTCCATTTTATTGCTGATTTGAATTATGTTATTAAAACTAATCTTGGCAGACTTTTGAAGTAGTCAGAAGTTGTAATTGTATGCGTTTTACCCACACTAACATTTCAAAGTTTATAGGGTAGGTAAGATTTTTCAAAATTTTTTTTAAAGACTATTCTGCTCACCAAGACGGCAATCAAATATACAGTAAAATCATTAATATTGTTACAGTTTTAAATAACTCCTTTCGGTTTCACTTTATTTTGATCCCTTTAAAGGGTTTGTTTACCCAAAAATGAAAATTCTGTCATTAATTACTCACCCTCGTGTTGTTCGAAACCCGTAAGACCTTCGTTCATCTTCGGAACACAATTTAAGATATTTTTGATGAAATATGAGGGCTCTCTGACTCTCCCATAGACAGCAAGGTAACTACCACGTTCAAGGTCCAGAAAAGTACCAAGATGATCGACAAAGTAGTCCATGTGACATCAGTGGTTCAACTGTAAAGTTACGAAGCTACGAGAATACTTTTTGTGGTCAAAAGAAAAAAAAAAAACGACTTTATTCCACATTTTCGTCTCTACTGCGTCACTTGTGGACGCGCGTTCATGACAGTACCGGGGAGTGTTCCGAAGATGAACAAAGGTCTTACGGGTTTGGAACAACACGAGGGTGAGTAATTAATGACATGATTTTCATTTTTGGGTGAACTAACCCTTTAACACATTCTGTTGACTATAAGTAACGTTGCACCTACATGTCTACTAACTCTCATTAGAGTATTAGTAGAGTATTAGTAGACTGCAGGGTTAGGGTTAGAATAAGTTGACATGTACTTGCAAAGTTACTTATAGTCGGTAGAATGTCTGTTGGGAGACCATCACAATACAGAGTTAGCAGATATTAAGCAAACAGTCTACTAATACTCTGATGAGAGTTAGTAGACATGTAGGTGCAACATTACTTATTTTCAACAGAATGTTTAAAAGGGACCATCAAAATAAAGTGTTACCCTTCTTTCTATTAGAATATATTTGAAAATATTCCTGTGATGGCAAAGCTGAATTTTCATTGTAATATGCTGATTTGGTTCTCAACAAACATTTCTTATTATTATCAATTTTATAAACAGTTGTGCTGCTGATTATTTTTGTGGAAACCGTAATAGATTTGAAATAGAGATGTTTTGTAGCATTAGAAATTACTTAACTGTCACAAATAAAAATGATCAAAAAATTGTACTGACCCCAAACTTCTGAACGGTAGTGTACATCAGTTTGAACGTGATGTTTTATTTTATTTTTAGCTTCATAAACTCCTTCTGTTTTACTGAATAGACTTTTACCCTAGACAGGAAGTTTGTATTTTCACCCCCAAATAACAATTCTGCCATGATTTGTCATCATAGTCTCTTTCTTATGTGGAAAATGTTAATGTGGGAATTCACCATATAATGAAACTGTCACAGTGGAGCCTGACCGTGTCTATCCACATTCAAATAAATAATTATATCATAGAAGTATTCCGTACAACGTGTGCACTATATTAAGAGTCTTTTGAAGCTTTGTGAGATAAAAATATTTTTGTGATTGTCACACAAAGCATCATATGGCTTCCGAAAAACTGTGACATATGGACCATTTTCATGGTGTTCCCCAACACTGTATAGTAGTTAAAAAGAGAAAAGACAACTTGAAATAGCATTCACAAACCTTTAACTTCTGTAATGTGACATGAAGCAGTAGAGGGTGGGAGTCCCCCCCCCCCACCAGATTTGATGTTATCTAGAAAAATGCCCATTAATGTTAAACATGGTGGCTATGATATTATTAGTTAATATTAGTTTTCTCCACGCTTGCAGCCTTGGCTGTCAACAAAAAAAAAAGAAGGAGAAAGTAATTACATTTGGATTAAGGATTTTCAAAACAAAACAAAACAAAAAAATCCTTTATAATAGCATGCAGCAAAGGATTTGGAGGCATTTGAGAAATAGAGTATTCATGCATATGCTTGAATCCTCATGCTGTGAAGGATCTTTAATTTGATCAGCTTGTCCCTTGTTGACCTCCTGCTATGACAATACCCAGTCCTTTGACAGTGTTTCAATGTAAGCAATGTGTTTACATTTCATGGCCCCTGTATGCTTCAGTATATGTGTTTCCAGAAGGCAGGCAACATTTAGAGCAGAAACCTAATCTAAGACTATGTTTTGCTGACTCCTCTAATAAATAACATCCACGCTGGTATCTTTTTGTTACTTTTTCCCTTATTGAATTCTGTCCCTCGTCTACAGATGTTCTGTTTAACTTTTAAAGAGACAGTTGTTCTTAATCAGAGAGTCCAGAGCTCTGAATCACACACACGCTTCTGTGGAGTCGACGGGAGAAGTAAAGGTCAGCTTAAACATGTGTGTCCCTTGCGGTTTCTGATTTTTCCATTTGTGGTAAGTTTGGGTCTCTTTCTCATTTCCTTTCTTATTTCGTCTTGTTGCCACTGTCTTCTCTTAGTAAACTGGTTTAATTAATCATTGGTTAATTATTCAAGTGACCCAGGGGAAGAGAGCACATCTTTTCTGTGTCTGTCTACCCTTTTCCTGGAACATCAGGAGAAGATTCACAGCCTCCATTCCTTCTACCTCATCTCTTTTCCTCTCGTTTTGTTCTTTCACCCCAATCTTGTAGAGTTAATCTCAGATAAGTTTGATGTTCCTTGGATTTTATTCTTAATTTTACTCAAATTGATGTGGAATAAATATATAAATTTTATAAAGCAGGTCAAGATTGAATCTGTACACTTTTCCCCCCACATTTTCTGTTCTGATTTTGGGAGTAAATATGCAGAATTCTGCAGAATTAATTTAAATATGTTGAAATTGAGTGTTCCAAAGCGACATTTTCTCCATAAGGGGAATTGATTTTGGGTGATAACTTATGAAACTTTAAAGACAGACCAACTGTGAGCTACAAGGTTGTTAATCAATCAATGGCATACGCTTTTGTTAAAGCTATCCACCTGCATTATTTCAACCTATTTTTTTAAATAATCATGTTCATCAGTCTTGTGTAGGTCTTTTTATCTACACTTTCAAACTACTTAAATATTTGTATCTTTAAAGCTACAATTTTATGTTTCTACACTTTTAGTTATGTCATTTGCAATGCCTCATGGGATTGTAGTCTGATTGTAGTCATGAGGTAATCTTGAAGTTAAGCTGTTTAGTGCACAGTTGTTTCTTTGTCTGGTTTTCAAAAACCTTTTTGCTTCAAATCAAAGTTTGTAATGTTGTAGGTTTCCCTAGTTGGTTAGTTTGGTTCATAGCTTATAACTCTTTCATAAAGACTTTTTTGAAATCCCTATGGGGAAAATGAATTAGAAAAATACTTCCAGAACCAAGGCCGGTAAAAAAAAAAAAAAAGGGCGGCCATTTTTGCACTCTATTCTGTTCATAGTGTTGTGCAGAATTCTGCAGGTGCAGATTTTGTGATAGATTTTGCCCAATAACCCTCTACAGAACATTCCTGTGCAGTGTGTCCGACTCTCGCAGTGATAATAACCAGTCCGTGACACTCCCCAGGAGGTGAGGCTGTTTTCGGGTGGATTGTTTTTCTGCGTGTATTTACTGGAGGGGCATTTTATCGGATCTGTGGGGTACCCGGATCTCTAACAGAACTGCCATTCTTAACATTCCCATAAACCCCTGGGGCTGGAGGAGAGGGTGGCTGTTAGAGACTCATCGATTGAACAGAACCCCCTGATGGGACTGCAAACTAATCAATAAACCACCATGTAGCCCCTGTGGAAAATGGAACAGAGGAAAGGAGGAGAGGAGAGGAGTGTGCACTCCCACAGCAGTGTCTGATCTTATTTCTGTCCATTTACATGGGTCACCTGACCTCTCACTTCTTTAATTCACACTGGCTTGTTTAACTTTCACTTTTCTGTCCAGCTTTGTTCTCTCCTTAATGACTGGGTGATAAAATTTGAGCAAGAGCGAGAGAGTGTCGTCTAACATCCCTGCTTTTTCTTTCTTTCTTCTTCTTTTTTTAGCCTTGCTGAAATTGTAGGCCTCAAAAAGTAATGACATTTTGTAGACTGAAAAAAAAAAAGTCACTTGCAGAATACTGAAAACCTTCTATTGATTTCCATTAAGAATGCAATCAAACATCCCATGATGTCTGATACGTGAGCGAGGGAACTTCTGCAAGGTGAAGAATTATTTAATTTCTCTTATTGGCACTTCTATTCTTTTTGATTTTGATGAGTTTTGCTGTTTTGAGGAATGGTGAAAGTGATGGGCTGTGTGTCTGTAGATGTAAGTATATATAGTATAGGCTTGTTTTAATGACCCATTCATAGCTTTAAAAATGGCTTGTTTCTTTATTTGAATGGGATCAGTTTCTTAATTTGTTTATTAGAATAGCTTTCCAGTACATGTACACTACTGTTCAAAGGTTTGGGGTCAATAAGATTTTTAAATATTTTTGAAAGAGGTATCTGATGTTCATCAAGGTGGCATTTATTATATTTTCTTCAGAAATACATAAAAACTTTAATATTGTGAAAGATTATTACAATTTAAAAAATGTTTTCTATTTAAATACATTATAAAACTTAATTGATTGTGATGTCACAGGTGAATTTTTAGCATCATTACTCCAGTCTTCATTGTCACATGATCCTTCACAAATCAGTCTAATGTGCTGATTTGGTGCATTTCAAACCATTACCAAAGTTGAAAACAGTTGTGTTGCTTAATATTCGTATGGAAACATGTAAATAAGTATGTTATCAGTATATATATATATATATATATATATATATATACAATATAGAAGTCTTTTGTAACATTATAAAGGTCTTTACTGTCACTTTTGATCAATTTAATTTAATGCATTAATCCATCCTTGAATTTCCAGTTTCCTCAAAGATATATAGATATATATATATATATATTCTTACCGACCCCAATCTTTTGAATAGTACAGTATGTATGTATTGAGGCAATCTATAATGAAAGTTAACAAAATTGACAAGAAAAGGGAAAAAAAAAAAAAAGACTTTTAAACGCATTTAAAAAATAGAGTATTTTTCTCACAGGAAAGTGGACCAAAAGTTTTGAAGACTCATCCTACACAACACAACCTGTTTCATTGGATCTTTAATATTATGTTAGTTTAGTACAAATAAAGGATTTGTCTGTTTGTCTAGGATTTCGAGTCTGTTCACATTTTATCTTATGAATATGAAAAATTAGTATACAAAAGAAAATCCTAAGAAAAACTGCAAAATGAGGATACGTGTAAACAACATTTATGTTTAACTGTAGATGTTTTATTCAAATTTAAATGACTTCATGCACTGAGCGACAACACAGAACAGTTGCTTTGTCTGTCAGCAGTTTTAAATTCCTCTGTTCGATCTGGCACAGCGCTACTAAATCTTTAGTGTTCTGCTAGCTTGATGCGTGAATGGGATTTTATTCATTCTAAATCTCTGTCTATGCAACATTTTGAACAGTCTGCAGTTTCTTTTTAGGAAATCATTCTGAATCAACTGGCTAAACCCATGAATCAACTCCTGTATCAAGTCTGGACAGCAGGGAGCCATGAATCGATCCTGATATTAGCTCTGAGTCGATGGTTTTAAGCTGTGAATCAACTCTCTGCATGTTCACGAGTCGATTGTGTGAACCATGAATCTCCCCGGAGCAAGAGCTCGGCTGGCTGCCTCAGGGCCAAAACCTTCTCGTCCCAGTAAGCCAAGGCAAGAGTTATAGGACGTGACAGAGAGCAGGAGAGAAAGGTATGAAGTGTTGAATATTTTGGCAGGTCGTCTAGCGGTGGAATGGGCGATTCTGTTCATGTACATTTCTCTCTCTTATCCCTCACTCCAAGCCTCATTCCTACTCTTGGCAGTCTCACCATGGCCTGTCTATCAGCATGTCGCTGTGGCGATGGGTGGTGATAAACCTTGTTGGGTTTCCTCCGTGCTCAGGCAATAAAACAGAATTAAAATATTAAATCTGTCCACCGACCCCCCTCGTAAATAAAGTCATAAATTACCACTCATCTCATAAATGAAGGAGAGACAGAAGATGGAGGTTTATGGGGAGGTGGCACCGATGTGGCAGTTTCACACTCTGATGGCCATCACTCCTTTCTACATCTCCTTTTTCACCAGCGACACTTGGCAGACAAGATGCTAACGGGTGAAGGTCATAGTGCTGTGTTGTATGCATTATTAACAGTTATGTGCTTGTTCTCACTGTGGCTGTATGATCTACATAACATTGGTAAAGTACATTAAAATATATTTGACTTGCTGTTCCCAATTAGATGTTTTGTTGTTTTACACCATTGTAAAAATTGAAACAAATTCCCAAAAATGACCTCATATAAGTATTTATTCCTCTATTATCTCTAGTGCAACCAATTCAAATTGGAAGACACAGAAATGGTTAAATTGGTGTATGTTGTGGATTGTTATTGGATTGTTATTTATTGGGATGGTTGTAGTAAAAAAGTACAAATCTGGATGGTCCAGCTTCTGTTCAGTCAATATTATGGCATAGAAGTAAAATGAAAGCTTCAAGCAACTCAATAAATTCTTTTAAATGAACGAGTAGATTTGAAAGGGACTGTAAATAAAAATATTTTTATTTAATCCATAATTAAGAAATGAAAAGAGTGCGGCACAGCTGTAAATAGAGTGTTGTGAGGGTAGAAAGTAAAATACACTGAACAAAATTATAAACGTAACACTTTTGTTTTTAAATCAATGGCGATCCGACGAGTTTGAAAATCGTGCAGTGTGAACTCAGCATAACACAGATTTAGACAGATTTGTGAACAATATTTGAGAGAAATAGGCCTTTTGTGTACATAGAAAAAGTCTTAGATCTTTGAGTTCAGCTCATGAAAAATGGGGGCAAAAACAAAAGTGTTGCGTTTATAATTTTGTTCAGTGTAAGTGCGGAAGTACTGGAGGGATTCAAAGGACAAGGTAAAATCAAAGGATTTTACCTTGTCATCATCTCGGACGTCTTTATTTGTCATTGACCCTCAGCTGAAATATTCACTCCCCCAGACACCATCAGCATTTCTGCAAAGGAGACAGCACGCACACACTCGCTGACTGTTTAGTATGCTTGATAGTCTGCCATTGGTGGCAGCATGGTGTCTAGACCAGCGGAGGGTGGCAGCCCCTCTAAATCTTCCCATCCGCTGGTGTTCCTGTCATCTTTCTCCCTCTCTTTCTGTTGCATCTCTCCATCGAATTACTTGCTCCCCAGCCTGCATCTCTCCTTCCCTCTTTCACTGACGATCTGTCCATCCTCTCCCTCTCTCTCTCTCTCTCTCAGTCTCTCTCTTTCTGGTTAATTAGAATAGGGGGCAGAGGCACACTTGAGTAAGCTCACTATCAGATGATTAATTGCTGGGGGTAGAGGGATGGAGCAGAGGGACTCAGTGCTGAAGAGAACACAAGGTTACTTATTCACAGTTTCTCTTTCTCCCTCTCTCTGTCTCTCGCTCATTGAGTCTTTTTCAATACATTTCATTATAGATTTATTTGTGGGGTTGTCGACATAACAGCATTCTCAAAGCAATTAACAAGAGAGGTGTGTACATGAATGATAAACTCGAGAAAATGAACTGATAAAGTTGCACTTGTTCTGTTACTATTGTAAAAGTTGGAGAATTCAAACATCATTTTCCTGTCTCATTCAGCCTGTCTGTAATTGTGTGTCTTTTTCTTCCTGCTGATTTCTCCCCAGTAACAGTCAGTTTTTGCTCTATCATCTTCATGTTGTTGCTGTTGTTGTGAGTGTCAGAATGCCCAGTAATGCATTTTGCTGCTGATGTTTATAAGTTATGATTTATGACATTTAAAGGTGCACTAAGCAAATTTTGCCAAACAGTGTTGATATTTGAAAGAACCAAAACAACAGGACCTCGCCCCTATTTTGATAACTCCGCCCAACACGTACACAACCCTGGCAGCGACGATGGCGGAATCTGCTATGCCTGCCGGCTAAGGGTATGATGTCATCCATAAGTGAAAACAATGTGTGTTACTATGGTAATTCAGGTTGACTGTGTTTGGTAGTAGTCTGTGTTGAATGATTTAGCTCCGTTTCACGTGGGAAACAACATTCAACACTCCAATATTTATGAGGGTCTCTTGCTTGTTCGTAACCCTTCTTTTTAATGTTTTGTTCCTCCGACATTTTCTTCTTTTTTTTTTTAATCTGCCATCTTTCGCTATCTATAGTTGATCTGCTAATATCAGTCTTGTGTAATATCCAAACAATGGTGTGAATTTGGGGCGAGTCTACCTGTTTTGAACAGTGGCAAATGGATGTGTTTGAAACTTTGAAAATGGTCATTATTTTTACAGTTATTCAGGGTGCCACTAGTAGTGCAAAATGTATACACTACAGGCCCGGACTGGCCATCGGGAGCACCGGGAGAATTCCCGGTGGCCTGGCAGCTGATTTGGCCCGCCCTTCTCAATGTACCAAAGTGATCATTTCTGATTTTTTCATTAGATAATAAATCGATAATAAATCATAAATCGGTTAGTCTTGACTATCAGCACTGCGCTACACGAATCGGCTCACGTGTGTTCCGCGCTTCCGTCAAACGATTCCGAACAGACCCGATGCGCGGGACTCGATGAAAGAGAGGAAGCGGCCAGAAGAAGCAGTGAAATGTAGCAACATCACTGACCTGTTCAGGGCTTCAAGTGCAGGGCAGTTTCATCTGTAAATACTCTAAAGAGTTTTGTCTTTATTAACGTAGTTGAGTATTAAACTGCTAATACTGATAATATCCATTCACATGGGTTTATTGTACAGGGAGGGAGGGAGCTAGAGCAGACAACAACACAAAAATAATATGAGTCACGTAATTCAATAGTGTGTTAATTATTAGAATTTTTCAACAAATATATTGTTCTAATTTTGACATTTAGGCACTTTAGAAAATGTGTTTTAATACACTACCAGTCAAAAGGTTTTGATCAGTAAGATTTTTAATGTTTTTTTAAAGAAGTCTCTTCTTCTCACCAAGCCTGCATTTATTTGATCCAAAATACAGCAAAAACAGTAATATTGTGAAATATTTGTATTATTTAAAATAACTGATTTCTATTTGAATATATTTTAAAATGTGATTTATTCCTATAATTTCAAAGCTGATTTTTCAGCATCACTCCAGTCACATGATCCTTCTGAAATCATTCTAATATGCTGATTTGCTGCTCAAAAACATTCATTATTATTATGTTGAAAATTATACTGACTCCAAGCTTTTGGTATAGTGTATATAGTGTGGTATAATGTTACAAAAGCTTTTTATTTCAGATAAATGCTGATCTTTGGATCTTTCTATTCATCAAAGAATCCTGATGTATTCAACTGTTTTAAATATTGATAATTATAATAATAATAATAATAATGTTTCTTGAACAGTAAATCAGCATATTACAATGATTTCTGAAGGATCATGTGACTGGAGTAATGATGCTGAAAATTCAGCTTTGATCACAGAAATAAATGACATTTTAAAATATATTCAAATCGAAAGCAGTTATTTTAAATAGTAAAAAATATTTCACAATATGACTGCTCTTGCTTTACTTTGGATCAAATAAATGCAGGCTTGGTGAGCAAGAGAGACTTCTTAAAAACATTAAAACACTTTTGACTGGTAGTGTATATTTGTATGAAATATAGGTTTGTTAAATCTAGGGTACTTAAGTCATTTTAAGATAAATAACTTTCTGTGCAAACAAATTGAAATAAGGTGGTTGTTTTCAACAAGGTGGACATAGTTCTGTTCATAACAGTAGACCTGCTGGTGAAGAAGTGACAAGCAAGAAAAAAAGGGGGGGACAGAGATACTGGGAAAAATGAAGAAAATGGAAAGGGAAGTGAAGGTGCAGTGCAAGAGAGAACCTTTAATTATTTTCCACGGCCCCAGACTAAGGATTTAGACCTTTTTATGTGATAGCCATACAAATAATAGGGTTGTCTGTGGTTTCAGAAATTGTTGTGGATGTATAAGCTACACAGAAAAAAAGGGGCCAAAATCGCACCTTTTGGGGAACAACAACTTGTCACTGGAGCAGTACTCTTAAAAGGACATCTTTGTTCCTTTTTTACTCCTAATAGGTAGGCCTACATATTACTACCCTAAGGATATGAATTACTACTCTAAGGCACTAATATGTTACCTATTAGGGTTACAAATGGTACAAAGATGTCCTTTTAAGAGTCCTGCTCCAGTGACAAGCTGTTGTACCCCAAAAAATAAAATTTTGGCCCCTTTTTTTCTTTGTCTTTATTAACCTAGTTGAGTATTAAACTGCTAGTATCTGTTAGGCTATCAGTAGCACCCCATTATTATCATCATTCAGAATACTGTGCTAAAGGACATCAATATCGATTGTAAAGTTACATTAAAAATTCAGCAGAGACAGATATTCACATGGATTTATTGTACAGGCAGGGAGGGAGCTAGAGCAGACAGCAACACAAAAATAATATGAGTCACAGCCTAATAATTCAATTGTGTGTTCAGTATTAGAATTTTTCAACAAATATATTGTGCTAATTTTGACATTTAGGCAGTTTAGAAATTGTGTTTTATACACTACCAGTCAAAAGGTTTTGATCAGTAAGATTTTTTTATGTTTTTTAAAGAAATCTCTTCTGCTCACCAAGCCTGCATTACTTTGATCCAAAATACAGCAATATTGTGAATATTGTGAAATATTTGTATTATTTAAAATAACTGATTTCTATTTGAATATATTTTAAAATTCCTATAATTCCTGTGATTTCAAAGCTGTATTTTCAGCATCATTACGCCAGTCTTCAGTGTCATAATGTTACAAAAGCTTTTTATTTCAGATAAATGCTGATCTTTGGATCTTTCTATTCATCAAAGAATCCTGATGTATTCAACTGTTTTAAATATTGATAATTATAATAATAATAATAATAATGTTTCTTGAACAGTAAATCAGCATATTACAATGATTTCTGAAGGATCATGTGACTGGAGTAATGATGCTGAAAATTCAGCTTTGATCACAGAAATAAATGACATTTTAAAATATATTCAAATCGAAAGCAGTTATTTTAAATAGTAAAAAATATTTCACAATATGACTGCTCTTGCTTTACTTTGGATCAAATAAATGCAGGCTTGGTGAGCAAGAGAGACTTCTTAAAAACATTAAAACACTTTTGACTGGTAGTGTATATTTGTATGAAATATAGGTTTGTTAAATCTAGGGTACTTAAGTCATTTTAAGATAAATAACTTTCTGTGCAAACAAATTGAAATAAGGTGGTTTTTTTCAACAAGGTGGACATAGTTCTGTTCATAACAGTAGACCTGCTGGTGAAGAAGTGACAAGCAAGAAAAAAAGGGGGGGACAGAGATACTGGGAAAAATGAAGAAAATGGAAAGGGAAGTGAAGGTGCAGTGCAAGAGAGAACCTTTAATTATTTTCCACGGCCCCAGACTAAGGATTTAGACCTTTTTATGTGATAGCCATACAAATAATAGGGTTGTCTGTGGTTTCAGAAATTGTTGTGGATGTATAAGCTACACAGAAAAAAAGGGGCCAAAATCGCACCTTTTGGGGAACAACAACTTGTCACTGGAGCAGTACTCTTAAAAGGACATCTTTGTTCCTTTTTTACTCCTAATAGGTAGGCCTACATATTACTACCCTAAGGATATGAATTACTACTCTAAGGCACTAATATGTTACCTATTAGGGTTACAAATGGTACAAAGATGTCCTTTTAAGAGTCCTGCTCCAGTGACAAGCTGTTGTACCCCAAAAAATAAAATTTTGGCCCCTTTTTTTCCTGTGTGGCCTGGATGAATGTAAGATTTCCCGGCCTGAAATTGCGTCCCATTCTTGCCCTGATACACTACCATTTAAAGGTTTGGGGGTTGGTCAGATTTATTAAAAAATGGTTTTGAAAGAAGTCACTAATGCTCACCAAGGCTGACTTTATTTAATCAAAAATACAGTAAAAATTGTATATTGAGAAATATTATTAGAATTTAAGATAACTGTATTCTGTTTGTCATTCTTCAGAAATGATTCTACAGTAATATGCTGATTTGGGGCTCAAAAAACATTTCTTATAAATGAAAACAGTTGTGCAGTATTTTTTTTAAATGTTTTTTTGGAAACCGATAATTTTTTTTCAGAATTCTTTGATGAACAGAAAGTTCAAAAGAACAGCATTTATTTGAAATGTGTGTGTGTGTGTAACAAAGTATTCACTGTCATTTTTGATCAATTTAATGCATCCTTGCTGAATAAAAGTATTTTTTTTTTTTCTTACAAAAAAAAAAGTTCATGTTGTGTTAAGTATTTTTGTCGACCTTTTGCATGTCTCGTTGCAAACCCACAATAACAATTAGCAACAAAATTTCCTAATTTCATATTCCACATTAGCATTTCTCTGCCCATCTGCATTTTTCTCTTCTGAAAGGCAGATTGGTGTTATCTGTCCTTGACATTTCAGGCTCATTTTTCAAACCATTTTCTGTCTCTTTGTGGCATTCACTATGTCTCAGTTTCTCCTTGTTTGGAGAGTGTTTTGACTGCTTTTCGGTCATTCATTTTCACAGAACGCAGCCAGACTGCAATTATATATATAAAAAATGTCTGTCTGCAAACATGCTCAAAATTTGTCTTGACAACATGAAAAACACATGTGAACAAACTTTTGTCTGTTATTACTTCTCATTTTGACTCTTGTAGGGCTATTCATTTGATTCATTCCCACTCGTCCTTTTGTTGTTTTTCTGTTCTGTAGTTTTTCACCAATCTTTTTTTTGTGCAGGACTCTCCTGTCCCTCTCTCCTTCACCCTCACCCCTCTCCCCATCTCTCTCTTTTTATTATTTGATGGATGATCTGTGTGTAGGAGGATATTCTGGCTGTAATAGACAGACACGGACAGCTAAATGTTAAGGGCCTCATAAAACGTGTTTGGCCTCCCCCAATGCTCTCCATCCTTTAACCCGCTCCCAGCGTCCCTCCATAACTCGTTTTCTTAATTTCACATCCCCTATTCCTCCTCCTCATCTCTCTTATGCTTGTTTGTCCATTCTTCACCCTGACTTTTGGATATGAGTGTGCATTGCAAATGATATTGATTGTCATTGGTTTCAGGAATTACAACTGCATTAGAATATGGGAATGAATCCCCCTAAATTATTGCACTAAAAGGTCAATTGACAACCGAATTTAGCCACATGAGTGAAAATGCTTGTGTTTTGGATTTTAGTATAAATTTAAATTCACCACAATATTTGTCATTACAAATTATATTATCAGTACAACAGAGTGACAAGTTGAACTGAAAAATGAACATGAATTTCAGAAAGTCCTACAATTTGATTTGTCCCTCTTTTGCTCAAGAGTCCATAAACTCTACAAGTTTGTGTAAAATCTGATGATCTGATGTTCTAAGAGCAGCTTGAGCTCTAATGGAAGCAAGAATGTCTGACTTTTTCAAACATTTAGTCATTTTATTTGATTAGTGACAAGACATAGAGCCTTGAAGAATGTGAAGAAGTGTAAATAATATGCATATTTTACTACATAATATTACATACATATACATGTTATGTTAATAAATATTATAAATATTAATT